CACGGACCTAGGCGTCGGGAGCGGCCGAGGGATCTGGTGAGTCAGAGTCATGGACCTAGGCGTCAGGCGCGTCCGAGGGATAGGGCAAGTCGGAGTCACCAACCAAGGCATCGGAGTTGCCAACCAAGGCATCGGAGTCGTCAACCAAGTCGTCGAAGTCGCCAACCGAGGCATTGGGCACGTCGAGGGTTTGGTCTAGTTTCGCGCGTTACCCCATCTGTGGTTTCCGCAACTAGAGGAGCTGAGCTAATGTCGCTTGCCTCAATGGCTCAAGTGACGCACTCGGTGAGCTCTCTAACGGGTATGTCTGAGTGGAATCTGGGTCCATTGTTCATAACGGGGTCGGCATAGCCCTCATGTCGCATTCCACTGCTCCTTAATGCATGCTTTGAGCCCGGGACAAGGCGTAATGCATGCTCGGTGACCTCCCGTGGTATGCCTAGCAGAGAGAGTTGGAATCAATCGTCCCTCCTTCTTTGGGAGAGAGTGCATCCCCTTTTATAGGTGAAGGGGATGGCCTTACAAGTAAGAGAGAGAGTGTGTGCACGTATGCTACTAAGTCTTATTGCCCACACCGTCGGGTACAAGCTGGTCATCGGCGCCGACAATACTGTTTATGTCAGACGCATGTGGGAGGCTTTACCATATTCGCCTGGTATGGAAATTGATGGCGCCCACAACACTGTAAGGAAAATGTCGGCGCCCACAACACTGTTTGGGTTCTGACATGCCTGAAAGGTTGTAGAGCACCCTTCTGACATGTCCTGTCGGTATTGTCCTCCAGACGTGCATGGTACGGTCCTCGGTATTACGGTTGACCTGAGCGCCTTACCTTATCTGCTCCCCCTGATTCTTGGGTCCTCACCGAGTGGGCGTCTCCAGTCGGTTGTCCCCAGTCGGCTCCGACCGCGCCGGTCGGAGTCGGAAGCTGTAAGCAGAGGTTCGTTGTATTCCCGGTCCGAGAAGCGGGTCGGAGTTGGAAGCGAGTGTCGTCTCTCCGGTCAGAGAAGTTGGTCGGTGTCGGAAGCGAGCGTCGTCTCCTCCTTGGCCAGGCCTTCTTGTCGGAGACTGGATCGCTCTTCCGGCCTGTCGCAGGTATCTGGGCCGGCTCAGGAGTCATGCGTTGTTGCAGAGTCGTCTGCTAGGCCGCACTTTTTGCTGGGAAGCGGGCCGATTGGGAACCCCGGGTTTATGAACTCGACACTATTTTTTACACATTTGCGGGTAACCCAAAAAATTTAGCCTATTTGAGGGTTTGCGAGTAACCAGCCTTGGATCTCTGCATTAGATAGATCGTTGAATCTATTTTTATAATAAACTTATTTGGAGATACAAATTTTGTTGATATTTTCTACGAACTGATTCAAACTTAAGAAAGTTTAACCATCATGAGTAGCATCACTACTGGAAACCCGCACTTTGCCGAGTGGCTGCGGCACTCGGCAAAGCCTGAAATACACTCGGCAAAGGGCACTCGGCAAAGAATTAATCGGCAAAGAAGCCTTTGTCGAGTGCTTTTCCGGCACTCGGCAAAGGCTTCGCCGAGTGCCCGGCAAAAAGCACTCGGCAAAGATTTACACTCGGCAAAATGAAAATACGAAAAAAAACCCAAAACTAAAAGCAAAATTTTTTTTTTCGGGGAAGAGCGCCATCGGCCAGCGCCCGTCCGTCCAGCGCCACCGACCATCGAAGTCACTGTATTTTTTTTGAGCAAAATTCGTGGCTAATGCGGCCGGCAGGATTCGAACTCACGACCTCTCCCTCGTATGTCTGCTGCTCTACCACTGCACTACACTGTCACTTATATCTAGATTCCGTTATCTATCCTCATATATTATACTAAATTGAGAGTAAATTGCTTGTTTGAGATCGTAAATGAATTCAAATTAAAAAGTGGTCAACTACAAAGTTTCATAACTTTTCGAGATCTACAATTTTCATTTAGGAAGTTTTTCCATCCGAGGTCATTTGAAAATTTTGAATTTCAAATTTGAGAGATTCAAACGTAGTTTTGCATGATAAGATGATTTCAAATCAAAAAGTTGTCAACTACATAGTTTCATAACTTTTGGAGATCTACAATTTTCATTTAGTAAGTTTTTCCATCCAAGGTCGTTTGAAAAATTCGAATTTCAAATTTGAGAGATTCAAATGTAGTTTTGCATGATAAGATGATTTCTAATCGAAAAGTTGTCAACTACATAGTTTCATAACTTTTGGAGATCTACAATTTTCATTTAGTAAGTTTTTCCATCAGAGGTCGTTTGAAAAATTCGCATTTCAAATTTGAGAGATTCAAACGTAGTTTTGCATGATAAGATGATTTCAAATCAAAAAGTTGTCAACTACATAGTTTCATAACTTTTGGAGATCTACAATTTTCATTTAGGAAGTTTTTCCATCCGAGGTCTTTTGAAAAATTAAAATTTTAAAATTTTCAATTTCAAACGTCATTTTTGCATGACAAGATGATTTCAAATCAAAATGTTGCCAACTACAAAATTTCATAACATCTCAAGATCTACAAAGTTTATTTTGGTCATTTGATCATCCGACATAGTGGTAGTAACATTATTCATAAATCTTATATATCTCTCTTCGACTTTTATGAAACTAATATGAGAGATATGAGAGAGATGTAGATTTTATGAACAACGTTATTGTCGCTTTGTCAAATGAAGAAATGACCAAAATAAACTTTGTAGATCTTGAGAAGTTATACAACTTTGTAGTTGAATTTTTTTTATTTGAATTCATTTAGGGCCTCAAAAATTGCTTTGAAAAAATGATTTGCCGAGGGCAAAAAAAATGCACACGGCAAAATGTCTCTTTGCTGAGTGCCAAAAAAAGGCACTCGGCAAAGACTCATTTTGCCGAGTGCCAAAAAATGGCACTCGGCAAAATACATCTTTGCCGAGTGCCAGAAAAAAGGCACTCGGCAAAGACGCATTTTGCCGAGTGCCGAAAAAAGGCACTCGACAAAATACATCTTTGCCGAGTGCCGAAAAAAACACTCGGCAAAGCCATCTTTGCCAGGTGCCGAAAAAAACACTCGGCAAAGCCGTCTTTGCCGAGTGCCCGATAAAATACACTCGGCAAAGCTTCCGGCACTCGGCAAAGTGCCGGTTTCCGGTAGTGCATGTTGACACTTAAAAAGGGAGAGAGGGAGTAGACCTAAGTGTTTTCCGAGCTGGTCCAAGCCGTATAAAGTCTATATCCGTGCCTAGTACTACCCAATTGAATGTGCCGGGCCAAATTTTTTCGATCAGGATCATGCCGGGCCTGAGCGGGCAACCCGCTAATTTTTAGTAGAAAATCAATTAAATAAATTAATACTTTCTCCGTGTCCAAATAAATTAATTTCTACAATCATTGCAAGTCTAACTATCTTAAGTTTGGCCAACTTTATATATGAAAGAATAATAACAACAATGACGCCAAATAAGTATATTATGGGAAAATATATTTCTTGGTGTATCTCATGATACTAATTCGGTATTGTAAATATTGGTGTTCTTTTCTATAAGGTTGATCAAATTTAAAATAGTTTGACTAGGATAACTCTAGAAGTTGATTTAATTTGAAATAGAGAGAGTACATCGGACTATACTAGGACCAAGGTAAATTATTTTGGGCTCATGTTTTCCTGTCTAGGCTTATCCAGTAGGGGCTGTGGGCCGGGTTAAGCATGGAGGTCTCGGGCCGGACCTGAAATGCAGAGGTATGTTAGCAGGTATATATGCCTTCGTGCGTTCGTTGACTTCGCGGGATCAAGGTCAAGTCAAAGCTCTGTATAAACGTTGCCGAAGGCCTGCAGCCAATGGTGTGCTGATACGTGGCCCACACGCTGAGTTTCTCTGTGTTTTTTTGCAGAATGGATTTTTGTTACTTTGCTTATGCAATGTCACGTGGCTTTGCGTACGTAAGATCCAGGCGTGTAATGCCAGCGTAAGGGGGTGTTGGATCCCGTGACTAAAATTTAGGAGGTGTGTCGTACTAATAAAAAAACAAATTATATAATCCGTCACTACTTTATGAGACGAATTTTTTAAGCCTAATTAATCAGTCATTAGCATATGGTTACTGTAGCACCATATTGTCAAATCATGGACTAATTAGGCTTAAAAGATTCGTCTCATAAATTAGTCGTAAACTATGCAATTAGTTTCGTAATTAATCTATATTTAGTACTCCATACATATATCAAATATTCGATAGAACAGCGACTAAAATTTGTGAGGGCCAACCAAACACCACCTAAGTGTGGTTGTTATCACGTTCCGACACATATTGCTGGTCAGTAGTTTATTATTACCGCTGCACACAGTAGCTAACACAGCCTAGTAAAGTAGGGGGGGCTTATCCACTACCTCACTCTTCTCTCTCCTTTTCTTCTCCTCTTTTTTTTCATTCTTTTTCATCTCGCTCTCTTTTCTTGTTCCACTTCACCTAAGTCCAAAACTCGTAGGAGAGATTTAGGGGGGGCATCTGGTAGGGCCCCGCCGGCTAAATCCACATGTAGGAATATATATGTTTCTACAATAGATACAAATAGTTTATTGCAATTAAGTGCTCCATATATATTTGTTTCTAATAAGTATAGGACGAACTGGACATCAATGTGGTTATTACTAATGTCCAGCTTGTACTACAAGCATGATAATAGTAAATTATAAGATTTCTCTATCAAAGCAAGAGGATTTGATTGCATTGCACGCAATCTATGACATTATTCATTATATATGAACGGATACCACTTACACAATTGTTTTATAATAAAGATACACCAGCAATTTGGACAGTTTTTGTTTAGTAATGTGTTGCGCGTTACATATATATAAGGTTAGGTATACACATATGCTTATGATCAGGACTTGCACCAAACTTATATAGACATTGATATATATCTAACCTTATGTTTGGTCGTTGCAGTTTATACAATTAGGCCAGTAAAGTGATTCAAGTATGGGGAAAATGAAAGACATATATTGAAGGCACCACTATCTAACACATCCTCGTTTGCCTCCCATTTTTTGTCGAATTTCCTCGGTAATCTTGACGATGGCGAAGAATATCATCCTGTATATCACCGTCATTCCACAAAGGATGGCAAGGTTTACCCATTTCGAGTACCCCATCTCCACCTCCAACTTATACTTGAGGACTTGAATGCCACTGATGGTGACATTAGACTCAATGAGCTGATCACTTGGGAACGACAGTCCCACGAACTCATTCTTGTATAATCCTTGCACAGCGTACTTGTGGAAGGAGATGTAGTAGCAAGGATACTTCCATACTGGCTTTGGGAGCTCACTTGGAAGGCGGAAGAAGCCGCCATTGAGCATCATCACCCCTTGAACTCCAGCTCCAATGATGATTCCCATTAGGAAGTCCGGAACAATAGCAGCGATAATCATCATCATGCTCTCTACTAGAAGGCAAGATATGCAAAGGACAATGACGAAATAGGTGAAGTGATCAATGCCTTTTGTTAGTCCAGTAAGGTAGTATAGCATAGCGCCCGGTAATACACCAATGACAGACAGGTATGGAGTAGCTGAGAGGGTGTTTGAGATCACAAATTCTGACACGCCATAGTGTCCACTCAACCTCTCCTTTCTGAATATCTGACACAACGGTGAAAATGGTGGTATTAAAAATATGCGCATACTTGAGGTATTAACAATAACCAATGTGCCAAAGAAAAACAGAACCTACTTTTCACTGTAACTAATTGGTATATATAAAGGGCAAATATACAACATTTCAATATTGGAAAATAGCTAGACCGCGCTAGTTTATATATGATTGGTTCACTTGCTAGAATTTATTATGATTTTGAGTAAAAATATCTTCCAACTAACTTTATCATGTTTATTCTGAGATCTGAGTCGTCACTTCACGACAATTTTGAATAAAATTGTCTTGAGCAAGAAAAATAAGCCACTTTTCACTTTTGGGTGAGTGAAGAATCAACCTAACCTTAACGTCTTCTACAAAAGACGGGAATCCTCCAATAGCCATGAAAGTTAAAAGTGCAACTGTATACATTATTACTTCACATCGACTCTGCAAAATCCGAGAAATTATCACTTTTACAGATACAAAATATATACAGCCCTAACTGAATCATGTTAACCAGTTTAATTACCTGGATAGAACTGTAGCTATAGCCAACTTGGTAGAAGATAGTGCCAATACATACGCCAATGCCCATATAGGTGGCCAAACGCATCCAGTAATATCCTATGTCCCTGTGCATATTAAAAAACGATCTCCTTGTGAGCACAAGGAGCTTTGTGGTGAAACTTGCTTGTTCTCTCCTCCTAAATGAAGCGCCCTCCTACAATAATAGAGAGTAGGACGGAGTATTAGACAGCAATAGAGAGTAGTACTAATTTCCAATGTTAATCAAAACATATCCTAAGAGCATCTCCAGCAAAAAACCCATACTTCCAATTTGGACAGTGGAGGTCAAAAAAATCAGCTCTAGCAGACCCCCTACTACACCCTCTAGATTTGTTAGCCTCCTATTTTCCCCCTCCCACCATCTATTCTTGTTGGCCCCCTACTCCACTCCCCCTACTTTTTTTTCTGTCTGTCTTCTCCACACGACTTCCTTTGCTCGAACAAAGTACCGGCGGCGCGACTCTCTCTGCCGCAGCCGGCCTCGCCGGCACCGTGACGGGCCTCACCGGCGCGGGCACGGCCGACCTCCATGGGCATGGGCCTCACCGGCGCGAGCGCAGGCGCGGCTAGCCTCCCCAGCGCGAGCGCGGCCGCGGCTAGCCTCCCCGGTGCGGGCGCGGCCAGCCTCCACGGTGCGGTCTTCTCCCGGTGACTCCACGGCGTGGTCTGCTTCTCGGCGCGACCAACCTCCACAGCGCGGGCGCAATCTGCTCCCCGGCGACTCCCCTCCCCGCGTGAACCTCCTCCGGCCACTTCTCTGGCGTCGGCCTACTCCCCATGCTCCTACGGCCACTTCCCCGACGGCGGCCTGCTTACCATGGCCGAGCTCGTCAATGGCGACAAGGAAGAGGATGACATGTGGGTCCCGTGACGGTTCGAATAAAATTGGGAGACCTGTTTAGGTAGTATTGCTGGAGTTGGAACTTGGAAGCAGAAAATAGGTAGCATCAAAATAGGTAGCTACCCAAACAGACAAGTAGAGGACTGATTTGGTTAGTATCAAAATAAGTAGCTACCCAAACAGATCGGTGAATATATTGGTCTTCGATCGATGCGGTATGTTTTTTATTGATATTGGATAATACGGTGACGGCCTTACAGGTATTCTACTTACCATGTTTTTCATTTCAACAATTTGGTCTGTCGTTTTTTCAAAATAACTGGAGGATCCGTATGCAGTCGCAAGAATGTCTATCGCTTCAGCTGCTGTTTTCCTGTTAGCTGTAGAACTCTCCACAGTTTCCTATATATATATGATGATATTAATTAGATAAATGAAAAGTGAAGTTGCACTGAATTTGTGACAGATCATAGGATCGAGTGAGTATATATACCTCATCAAAGTCTTTGTTGATTGTTCTTAGGAAGTGATCTGACGGGCTTCTCAGGTGTGGACATGGAAAGCCGTTCAGAGTGAAGAACTGCACGCATGCAAGGAACGAGCTAGCACAAATCAGCAGAGAATTCGCTATTCAGTTAGCCTGCCCTAAAGAAGCTAAGACGAAGCATGCAGGGTCGTCACCTCGGTGGCATCAGAGATGGTCCCAAAGAAGATCGCCTTCCCGGCGGCGAGCAGGCAGAGGCCGTGGAAGAGCTCGAAGACGTCGCCGCTGGGCTGGTGCACGGCGGCGACGACCGTCATGCCGTCGTGGGCGGCGACGCGTGCGATGTGGCTCATGACGTGGTAGGAGGCGGCGCTGTCGAGGCCGCTGGTGGGCTCGTCAAGGAAGAGCAGGCGCGGCCGCGTCAGCATCTCGATGCAGATGCTCAGCCGCTTCCGCTGCCCGCCGCTGATGCCCTTGGCGATCCGGCCGCCGATGCGCGTGTCCATGGCGTCCGTGAGCCCCATCTCCCGGATCACCCGCTCCGCGTGCGCCCGCTTCTCCGGCGCGGGCGTCGTGTCCGGCAGCTGCAGCTGCGCCGAGTAGTACACGGCCTCGCGCACGGACAGCGTCGACATCAGCACTTTGTCTTCGGTCACGTAGGCCTTTGTTGTAGGAGTATTTTCATTCATTAAAAAAGTTAACTTGTAAGTCCGGATTTACGCGCACACACGCCAACGTTACGCAAAAGATTGCAACCAGTGTTTATAGAAAAACTTTTTTTTAGAGAAAGGAAAATTTGTTCCAGCTTTTGCAAAAGTCTTGCACCAACCATTCATAATTATTATTCTGGCCTCTCCTATCAGTGTTTATATCATACTTCCTCGCTCCTGAATAAATTAATTCCTAGAGTTGTCTTTAGTCAATTTTTTTATATTTGACCAAATTTATAGAAAAAATATAATATTTGCGATACCAAATAATTAGCATTTTATGAAAATACAGTTTATATTTATGGTGCATCTAATGATAATAACTTGGTATCATAAATGTTGGTGCTCTCTTCTATAAATTCAGTCAATTTTTTAAAAAAATTGAATTAAGAACGTCCTTGAAATTAATTTATTATTCAGGGATGAAGGGAAGGAAAGAGATGATTTTTTTCTTTTGTCTTACCGAGGTTCCATAGGCAAGCTTCTCCTCCCGGCCGTTGATTAAAATCAGCCCAGTTTTATTCATGCCTGGTCCTAACCTTCCTGCAGTGAAACGGTAATAATGGGTTACCCACAGTAACCAAAATCCAAAGTGCGTAGTGCCTTGCATTTTTTATTGATATGGTGCAACATGCCAATATTATTTTTGGTGAGGCGTTGAGCAATAAATAATGAAAAAGGGTTCCTCTATTTCCAACACGAATACCCAGCCATATACATGATTACGTTTCCTTTGAATGAAACAATATAATAAAAATAAAATTATACAGTAAATTGAAAGGACGGTTTCAGTCATGAAATTAAAACTAAGGGTCTATTTAGTAGAGCTCCACCACCTCCAAATTCAATAAACCAGATCTGGATTTAGTTTTTTCTAGCCAAATACTTTTGGATCCAGCAGATCCCTCCACCAAAATAGTGGATCTGCCCCCAGATTGAGGTGCTTCACCAAATCCATGTTTAGTGGAGCTAGAAAAAATTATCCACCATAACACTCATTACACAGAAAAATCGGTTGGATCTATACTTTTTTTTTCTTCCTCGCCACTAACACAGGCCGAGCTCCGATGAGCTGCCGAGGAGCTCCCAACCGGGCCCGCCGTGGGTCGCCACGCCGACCCGTCAGTCGCACCCCGCGCCTCGCGCCGCTGGCCACGGGAGCCGCTGCGCTCCGTGCCCCACTCCGTCCAACGCGCGTCGAGCATGAAACCTCCGCGCGCATAGGGGACACGCGATAGCGGCCATCAGACATGCCACGCCCTTGCCTTTCTGGTCCGCGGTGCACATGGAGCTACCCTGCTCACCCTCCATCCTTGATGCAGGGACGATGAGATAAAAAGTGGGTGCCGAAACATAGCGCCCCACTGAGCTAGCCGTGGCCGGCCGCGAGCTCGGTCGGTAGAGCACCGTGCAGGAGCTCCGCACCCGCCCTCGGCCTGGTCGGCCCTCGTGCACCCGAGGAAGAAGAAGCCCCAGCCGACCTTTTTTCTTCTTTTTTTTGCCCCTTGACATGTGGGCCCAGCTATCATTGAGATAGAGAGAAACACTAGAGCTGTACCAAACGCTTTGACGAATCTTAGATCCACGGTGGAGCTGCTCTACAGCGGATTAAGGTGAATCTGGGATTCAGATTCTCTTTTTCTACTGGTGGAGCTTTACCAAACAGGCACTAAACGTGTGGTGGAGAATCTAGATTGGATCACTAGGGATAGATGGAAATCTCTACGAATGTACTAATCAATTTTTGTTAAGTTTGACTTGGTTCGTAGAAAGTATTAGCAATATTTGTATATTCAAATAAGTTTATTACGAACGATCTACCTAATTATACTGATTATGTACCATATAATTTCTTATATATATTTGGTTCAAGTTAACTGGTCGGGAAGTAAGAATAACAGTTAAAAAGGGACAGAGGGAGTGTAGTACGAGGGTAGCATGACCAATGATTGCAACTACTTTTGGTGCAATTTCTGAAATTTTGCAATCTGTATGTAAAACATTATTATCTATAGGTTTATTATTAATAGCGGTAGTATTTTGCTGATGAGTCCTGTTACTAGGCATTTTTGCAAGCAAGGTGTGCACTTTCACATCCATGGGCCGGATCAACCATTTTGAATGGGACATGTCCAAATGAAGGACCTCATATCGCTTGCAATTTTGAGTTCATTTCGTAAGTTAGCACACGTGTTCGGATTTTCTTTTTCAAAAAAGCAAACACAGCGTCGAATGCGAATGAATTGCGCCGCTTGTTATGTACTAACTCTGTCCCAAAAAGAAAGATGCAATTCCAAGTGTAGCGCTAGTCAAACTATCATAAATTCACATAACATAATATTAGCTTTTATAACTTCAAATAGATATGTTACCAAAATATAACACATGAAAAATCAGGCAATACTTATTATTTGGTATGATAAACATCGGTTTATTTTTATACAAATTTAAGATTGTTTGACTTGATAATACTATTATAGAATTACATCTTTTATGGGACGGGATGAGCATATATTATTTTATTTATTAAAAAAAATAAGTTGCTATATTTCTAGTGCCTATTTTTTTAGAATTTTCAGGTAGCCACTCACAAGCGAACTAGTACAATTAAAAGAACAACTCACAAAAAGATAATGAACAATTTTTTTATATGCTAAATAATGACAAAATTGCATGTTGTCTTAGCAACATAAAAAAATCAGACACCTGAGATATAGGAGAAGTGTTAAAAAAAGACTTCGACATGGTCCAAACATTCTACATACTATCATATATAGGCTAGACATGAACTGTAGACACAACAAAACAGTAGAGAGATCATGTAGCTGTTCATATAGATGGCCAAATGGGCTGTCCAGCCTACCATGACATGGGCCCACCCAGGCACAACCCAATGGGGTCAGGCCGGCACGACACTGGTGCCTCATCGGTTCGGGCCGTGCCTGCCCAGGTGCTGCACCTACGGCCTAGGCATGGCCCTATACGTGCACCTCTGGTGTGCAGCGAACCGAAAAAATTACAAAAATGACATTCGAAAGATTGACTTTTTGATTATGATGACACTCGGGTGGATTACAAGTGGGTCCATCTGTATCTATAAATGTGGGTCCAATATCAAATCTGCAAACGACCGTTGTTTCGAACCCATTTTTACAAATCATCCCAGCGAACCAAACAGTTCAAAGAGAGCGACAGTTCGATAACCCAGGGTAGACATCGGTTTGAGGGCCCCCATATTCCATCCCGGCTGCCTCCTCTTTGCTCCCCTCGCCTCCGCCCTCTCTCCCCTCAATCAATCTTTTATTCGGCTGGGTTCGAACGTTCTGCAAGATGCTGTTTTTCCTTCTGACATCCACGGTTCGGCTGCTCCAGCGTTCACGGTTCGTTTTTCCGGGCCCGTCGTTCGAATTTGCCCAACACTGGAGGTGCTCTAAGGCTCGGGCCGTACCGTGTGCTGGCCCGTTGGCACGCCAACTCCGTAGTGGCTGAGTTCTCCTAGGCGCGAGCTGCTCTGCCGCCGCCGCGTTGGCTGGCGTGGGGGCGAGCTGCTGCTGTGCCACCGCACGCTGGCTCCCGCAGGCGCGAGCTGCTGCGCCGCCGCCGTCGTGGGTGCCAACTGCTGCTGCGCCACCGTGCGCTGGGCACTGCGAGCACGAGGAAGAGGAGAAGGTGTGAGAGTAGGGGGAAGAAGCAGAGGAGAGAGGAAGCGAGCGGCGGCCAGGAGTCAAGTCTCCCAGACAAGTTACGGTTTGCTTCCTTTATATGTGAAGCGGAGGTGGCTGGGCTGAGCCTTTAGCAGCCTTGCTATTAATCGGGCCGTGCCGAGGGAGTTGCCCAGGCACGGGGCTCTCATCGGGCCAGGCTGGAACGAGTCATCAGGCCGTGCCGTGCCTGGGTTTCGCCAAATTGTCTGGCGTGCCCTTCGGTCTTCTATAGCAGTCCACAATCTACATGTAGTCCACAATCTACATGTGGGTTGAGTAAATTCTATATGTAGGTTGAGTAAATTTTAGTTTAAATTCCATTCTAGTTCATTCTGATACGTGTGGATTTATATGAATCCAACTGCACCTAAACAATACTAGGTAAGACTAGGTAGTAAGAGATGAGACCGATGAGGTGTCAAAACGGACGCACGCACCTGCGAGGGTGTCGAGCAGCGTCGTCTTGCCGCCCCCGGATGGGCCCATGATGGCCAGCACCTCCCCGGGGCGCGCGTGCCCGCTGATCCCGTCCAGGATCTTCACGTCCGGCGCCCCGCGCGGGCCGCCGCCGGCCACCGTGACGTGCACGTCCTCCCACGTCAGAAACGCCCTGGGGTCGCCAGCGTCCGCAGGTGGAGCCACCAGCTCGCAGGCCGATCCGGCGACGCCGCCGCAGGCTGTTTCGTTTGACGACGGCGCGCCTCTCTGGCGCCGGCCGCCGGCCGCAGTAGCCCACGCGAAGACACCGCTCCCGAGCGACCACCACAGACCTTCCGAGCCCCAGCGCCATAGCGGCCGCGAGGGGCCCGGCGTCGGCGCCCACCGCGGCAACGGCGACGTGGCCGCCATGGCTACCGTACCTAGCGTCGTACGTGCCGACTTCGAGCGCGGCTGCGTCGTCCTCCTTCCCACGCACTCCGATCCTAGCCGGCCGTGTTCACCGCCCTTCAGCTGCAGTACTCCACTGCACTTGAGGCCTTGCTTTGGCCTGGCGCGCTAGCTAGCTCTGATTAATATAGGCAGGCGTGTCATGACAGATGGTGATCGAACAGTACAACATTGTAGCGGTGGGTCAAGTATGGAGTTATTCATTAATAATTTGCCAAAACTGAAACTCTGTAATCAAGATTTGCTCCAATTGATAACGCTACCGTAACACGTACAACGATTCTAGCTAGCTATGTCAGAAACGTACGTTTTACGTGACAATTTGCTCCAATAGATCGATGCCATCCTTTTATATACAAAATTTGCAGATGCACTGATGACGGTGGATGTAAGACAGTATGTCAATGGCGTAAAATCTTTCGTTGAAGAAGCCGCCAAGGCTGATGTGAAAGAACAAGTGGGACCAAGGTGTGTGTCATAGAAAGTGATCCAAACATCACGAAGAGGGTGAGCTCTGAAGAGTGAAAATACATCAACCTCATGACGAATATAATTTTTTTAAAAAGGTGCCAAGAGCTTTGCCAAAATTTTATTAGACGAGGAAAAAAGGAAATAAAAAACAGGAATTCAGAGAACACCACGGTTCTGTCTGAACCTAAAAAAAAACTACTGACTACCCTGGGTGGGACGCAGAACCAGGGAGACCACTAAAAGAACAACCAAAATACAAGGAGTAGCAACTAAGGGTCTGATTGGATCCCCTCCTCTAAACTTTAGAGCTCTAAATTTAAAGATAAAGTCTCCAAACAGGTGGTCTAAAATTAACTCTAAACTTTAGCCTATTTCACATTAGAGCTTTAGATCTCAAAACTGAGCTAAGGTGCTCTTTTTTTTTGAAATAAAGTGCTCTAAAATTTTTAGTGCTCTGAATTTTAGAGAAGGGGATTCAAATATGCACTAAAGCCAGACAACAAGATGGCAAATACAACTGTCACAAAGAAGCAGAACGACAGACTAATAATCCATGACAATCGGTCTCGACGCCAATTGAAATAGTTGTATATCATCTTTACAGTAAAGAGCATTGCGACTTGTCTTGGTTGCAAATAGTTTTGCTGAAAATTTCTTTTGTTCCGCACTTTCCAAATGTTCCACAAAAAATATATCATAACACCATGAAAGCTTTTGCTTTGGTCTCTTTCAATCTTAATTCGGCATTTGCGCCAGTATCTGTGCAATGAACCCGTCATGCCCACTGAGTCAAAGTCTGTCAATCCAAACCACTGCTTTATTAAAGTCCATACCTCAATTACGAAAATGCCATCCTTGCAGGAATGTGTTGGTGTCTCCGGCTCAACACCACATATAGCTTGCAGATGGGTCCCTCTGCCAATTGCGTTTGCTTAAATTATTTCCTGTCAGAATCTTTTTATGTAGTAGAGTCCATGCTAAGAAGCGGCACTTGGGCTTCGTCCGAGTTTCCAAATTGCCATGACACTAATCTTGCTAAACGTGTCTTCAAACTGGATACGATATGCGCTTTTTGTTGTGTACTCTCCGTCACCCGTCCAACGCAATCAAATGTCGTCGTCTGTGGAAGTATCAAATTGAATTTCCTGAATGGCCTCACAAAGCGTAACGTATTCTACTATCCGTTGTTGTGTATAGAGTGGTGACATGTGTTTTTGAAAGTGCATCTAGCTCTTTAGTGGGTTTTGGATGATTGAATGACAACACGATTAAAGATCTAACATGTTTGCTAAGTGTTGGATAGGAAATTGGTTATCTCACAGCTGCTTAATAAAGCCGAAATAATGTGTTGTTGTATAAATAATCTAGTTCAAACACAAGACAACAATGCAAATGTAATTCATGCAAAGGCATAATTATGGTGGGATATCAATGATTGATGATGTTCTATGAAATTCATTGTATGATTCAACACAAGATATGACTGGATGGTTTGAGTTGGTGAAGATGGTAGGGAAAGGCTTCGAGGTACTAAGCAAGGCTGAAGGGCAAGCGATGACTTGACGGCTGAAGAACCTAGCTAGAGTGAAGAAGGAAGTACTTGCATTTAGTTGATGTACTAATCAAGCTATGATGGTCATATTGATGTGGACGATCAAATCTATATTGGACAAGTTGATGAAAGTGATTTGATACATTTGGAGTTATTCACATTTGATGAACGGAATCAAGTCACGTGCTCAAGATGGCTATGCTCAAATGAAAAGATCATAATTGACATGTTGGCATCCTCACTTGATCAAGATTGAAAGACACGGCATCGGTTGAAAGAAATTAACTCAAGAGGTTTAAATTCGCTTCTCTTTTAATCTTGAGTTAATAGGTATGCCGTACTATTAAGAGAGATGCATCATGTTGATAGATGATTATTCATAAGTGCTCAACCCAACCTATGTGAGGTTTGAGTGAAAGAGAGAAGATAAACTAAGTTGGTGTGCTATGGCCGAGCACCTAGCCACAAGAGTAAACTTGTTTCTCAGTTTGGGTTCGTCGAAAGTCCCGACATGTTTTAGCTGGCAGTTCCAGGGGTCAGAAGTCCGGGGAAGCATCAGAAGTCCCGACACCCAACTAACTTAGAGAGTTGACTGTCCTAGTCATATCGGACATGTCCGGTATTCCTACCGGACGTGTACAGTATGGTCGACCAGAGCCCAACGGCTAGTTTTCAAATGAGCCTAGGGTCGGAAGTTCCGACAAGTGTTGGTCGGGAGTTCCGTCAGTCGGAAGTCCCGGCAAGCGTCGGGAGTTCCGACACCTCGCTTACTCTTTAACTAGGTGACCGTTGGCACAGTGCAAGGCATAACGGCTAGAAAATGGCAAGTTTTTCCAAGGGGGCTATAAATACCCTCAAGCCTCCACCTTTGGAGGCTGCTGATTCTGTTGATTCTCTCTTACGTTTTTGAGCCTTGCCAACTCTCTCAAACCCTCTCTTAGTGAGTGATTGATCCAAATTGCCAAATCCAATTGTGGGTTGAGTGAAATTTGAAAAAGAGAGCAAGCCAACCACTTGAGCACTTGTGCATATTGTCAATCTTCGTGCTTTGCATTTGTTACTCTTTGACTCTTCGGTCCTAGAGCACCCAAGAGATTGTGGTGTGCCTCGGAAAGTCTATAACGGTTGATTCCACCGCCACAAGGGAAGGAATCATCTAGTGGAAGGAGGAAAAGGAGTAGAAAAAGACTCCGACTAGAGTGACCTTCGTGGTACCCTAGGGCTAACCTTCGCTGGGTCGCCCGCAACCCCCTCAACAGAGAGTAGGACTCGAACGAGTCTGAACTTTAGTAAAACAAATATCGTGTCTCAATTCATATTTCTTTTGATATTTGTGTTGCTCCAGCTCTTGTGCAGGTTCTCTGTGTATCATATCATCTTTAGTAGGTACCTGCAGCTTGGATTGAAGATTAAAATCGAAAGGAGCAAATTTGGGGCTGTTCCACTGAAACCGTGCATACCGAACACGTACGGTATTAGTCCCTGTGTCAAACTGAATTGTATTTTGATTTAACTCTTTGATTGCAGGTATTTGGCTCCATAGATTTTATTTAGTATATTTTATATACTCTGTGGCTAACTTGTGAGGGGTGGTATTACTCTGATTTGGAGTTTCCATTTTGGAAACTCCCATTACTAATCGCTTCCGTATTTAAAGGTGTTAATTTTTAGAAACGCCTATTCACCCCCCTCTAGGCGGCATCCTAGGTCCTTTCAAGTGGTATCGGAGCTTGGACTCACTAAAAGCTTTATCGCCGTGAGAAAATAATGTCGACGCCTTTCAAGTTGGAACTGATGCTTCTCTAAAATGATGGTTCAAATTTTCTATCTTGGTCAATTCATGTACTCAATATTTTTAGGACTATTAATCCTCTTGTTGAGGATATGTCACGAAGGTAGTTTGATCGGCAATGGTGCGCGTAATCAAGAACAAGAAGGCAACAGAGACACAAGAGTTAGACAGGTTCGTGTCGTCAGCACGACGTAATACCCTACTCCTGTGGTCTGTTGGTTTGTATTGGCTATCGTATGATATTGCGTGTGATCAGATCTCTTAGGCTAAGCCTAGGATTCATATGGGGATCTTGACTAGGGGACCCCTGCCCCTCCCTATATGCTCTGGAGGGGTAGGGTTACAAGGAAAGTATCATATTTGGTATTATACAATATCTTATTGTAGCCTTACGGTGCACGCCGACCAGTGCCGTGCGTCGCACGCCTTGATCTTATGGGCTGGGCCACCTCTGATGGTGCGGCCTATATCTTGTATTATGGATACCGGGGGGTATATCCCCCACAGCTAGTCCCCGAGCACCTTGTATCCTTTGAGCAACACTTTCATGAACAAGTCCGAGCACTTTGACGTGAAGCCGATCGGTTTAACCGGTGATCCGAGTAGTGGAAGTCGAAGCCGACCAGTTTAACTGGTGTCCTAGGCGGTGAAAGTCGAAGCCGACCAGTTCAACTGGTGACCTAGGCGGTGAAATTTAATGCCGACCAGTTTAACTGGTTAGGAGACCTCAGACTTAGCCAAGTAAGGCTTGCCAGATGGATGTAAGGGGCTCAAGATAAAATTTGAAAATTCTTCCCCTTAGGAGAAGTGTAGCCACTTAGACTCTGTTAATAAGGAGGATAAATTAAGAAATAAGCACTACATTCACCGCTAAGTGAAATGTAGCCACTTAGTCCCTGAGCCTGCTGTAAGATGAAAAATAAATCTTGTAGCAGGGTCAAAGAAAATAAGTCAGAAAGCTTGCCAACACCACCTGGTATGTGCGTATCAAGACCCTAGATGTGTTGCCCAAGATCAGTACCTTGATCTGAACAACATGGAGCTACTTGATAGCACACTGATGAGACGTACCAAGATCCGACCACCAAGGGAATCCCCAGCTTACCTGGCGATGCTTGCACAAAGAATCCAAACACTGAGGAGTCC